TTGCACGCTTTGTCTTTGAGCATATAACTTCTCCAAATCCCATCTAGGTCTGCGCTTTTGAAATCTTATAATTTTCTTCAACCTGGTTCGGAACTTGGCAACCAGTAAGTTGTGGTCAGAGTCAATATCTGCCCCAGGCATCGTCTTCACATCCTTCACACTGTTTCTGAATCGATGTTTCACAAGGATGTAGTCAAGCTGATGCCTCCTCCAATCCCCAGGTGCCTTCCATGTGTAAATTCTTCTCTTTGGCTTCTTGAACCAAGTGTTGGTGACAATCAGTCCATTTCTTTCACAAAAGTCAATAAACATTTGACCCCTGTGATTCCGTCTTCCTAGTCCATGTGATCCAACAATGTTCTGATATGGTTCATCTCCAACAATGCTATTCCCGTCTCCCAATATGATGCTGTTTGTGTCACCTCTTCCATCTTCCTGAAGAATTCTTCAATTGTGTCATACACTTTTTTTCTACTTCTTCATCTTCATACTCTGATGTTGGCATGTACACTTGCATAATCAGTATATCTACCGGTCCCGCCTTTAACTTCAGAGCAATCATTGAATATATATTTTGAAAGAAATCGAAGATTAAATTATGTGTTAATATCCGTTTCATTGCTGCTATTCCATCCAAGCCCACACATCCCAAACAGTCAAATCCCATAACTTCTGTCAACCAAAAACTTGGTATGTACTTTTTCTTAATCAGCAGAAAGACGACTACACGTGTCGTAGCCACTCAGTACTTAAAGCCAACTACTCTCAACTTTTAAACCATTAAAATATCACCGTAGAATTATAATAAAAAGGATGTGACAAAAACCACTATGGACTAGGATAATAATAGTAAGAAAATATCAGTAAGGTAAAGGCAATCTCAGCTGATCACAGAGGCCGCGCGGCATGAGGAATGTTTTCGACCTCTCAAACAATGGAGTCGTGGGTTCGAATCAAACTAGAAGCATCGATGTTTGCGTTCATTCTCTTTGTGCTGTCCTTTATAGGTAGCAGTCTTTTAGCGGGCTGATTCCTGCTCAGGGAGTGCTACTGAATGTCTATATGATTATGAAACTCTAAAAGAGCGACCAATGTTCATCACGGACTATTTCGCCCACAGATATATACTCATATATAAAGGAAAAATTATCCCTGGACTTTAATTAATTAAGCACCACGACATTAAGACGTATGGGGGAGTGGAGTTATAATATCACCATTCTCAACCTGGACCCTAGATGTAGGTGAGGGGTCGGTTTCACGCCCATGCCGCTTTGTCTCAGGGGCAACAGCGTTAATACCAATTGCGTAGGAGGCTAAGCGGGACGTCATGGAGAAGGGACAAAACCTCTTTTTCCTGCCAGGTATCAAAATCAAACTCCTCGGCTGTCCATCCCGTAGTCTAGTCCTTACACCGACGAAGCTATCCCTGCTCCTATTAATAAGTACAGAAGTGTCTCTCTGTCACATTGCTACGACTCACCTTCACAGAACTTTACAAGCAGCCCTGCCAACTATATTTGTAATATAGAACCACCAGTGCCTGCATTAACACAACGAACCAACGAACCACAACAGTTCCTCACTAACTTACGGAGTTCTGCGGTGTTTCTGTCGTGATAAACTTTAGTGCAATTTCATGGTATTGTAAAATCTAACTTCCCTCCTCCGAGCTCAAGCTTCTGCGTCACAGTCGGTAAGTATCCCGTTTGATTATCGGCCAGGAAGCTGCAATCCTGTCTGATGTTGCTTGGTTTGACTCAGACCTTACGGGAAAATGCCGATCACTACTCCTTAATGTAACGTCCCTTGAGATATATCGTTATCAATCATCCCACCATATACCATCCGACAATATAGGCCAACCTATGACTGAGAAGAAATAGAATGGGCAGGTGATGAAGAAAAAATGAGAAAGGTATAGAAGGATTGCGAGAGAAGAATGAGATGTAGAGGCTCAAAATGAGATTGATTAGAGGAAAGAGAAGAATGAACAGGAAAATCAGGGGTTTAAAAGCAAGAAGAAGTAAAGTAAAATAAAGTAAAGCTATCCCTGTAACAGGCCGTGGAGGCCCATAGGGTTGTGAGATGTTCAGGTTCCCACATTTTTTTAGACAATCGGCTCACAGTTGTAAGGTTGTCAGCCTTACGCGCCGGCCGCCTTTTACCCCTAGGAAAATTCCTGGTACTCATCTCTGTTGGAGGCTGAGTAGATCCCAGGGCCATATTGCGGCTGGAATGATTAGGTATATTGAAAAATCCATCTCATTGGGATGCGATCCCGCGACCTTCCGGGTTGTAGCATAGTGCCTCAACCAACTGCGCTGCCGCGTGCCCCAGCAAGAAGAAGTTGTAGGGAAAATAAGAGGAAGAAAATGAAAGTAATTAGGGGAATAGAAACAAAGACCAGAAGCGGTCAGGTAAGTGAAATATACGGGAGTCTTTGTACAGTAACGCTTAACCACTGCATCTGCTGGGAAACCTGAATTTAGTCAGTCGCCACTTTCAAGTGAGTTTCGGTAGACAGTTCGATAATCAATTTCATCCTTCATCGATTTAGAGGGAAGAGAAACAGAATGGTAGAAGCGTACATTTGTGTCAAAACTTGCGAGAACATGTAACTGATTTCAGAATCTAAATAGCATCTGGAACTGTTCACAGTCACGAAACAACCTACCTTAAAAATTGCTACATTTTCCTTGTATACTTAGAAGACGTTTTTGCAACGCATCTCAATGGATTTCTCAGCGTGAGGCTTACTTATAAGAGATGAACTCGGAGCTGTTTCAATATTCATCCACTCTAAGAGATAGAGTGAGCCCTACTCAAAAATGAACACACCATAAATTTAGAAACAATTGCGAGGTACATGTATACAGAAAGATTCCTCTAAACAAAAGAGAGACAATTTAAGACGAAGGGACATATATTGTATACTTATTTTGTGCAAGTTTCTTACTTAGCTGCTCTTCGGCCCTGAAGATGGAGGCGATATATCCAACCGAAAAGTTGTTGGACTTTCGCCAGATTAAACGGCGCTATATCGCAGAAGATAGAACGATTTATACCAAACGTTGTCAAGCAAATTTAAATTCCTTATATATCAGTCTACTGCAACGTTTGTTTCTTGTTTCCCCAGAATTTTACATTGCGAGCAGCAGCAACAAATGCATATCCCACTGCGATCCAAAGAATATATGAGATATAAAACTAATTTGTATTATAAATTATCGATATATATATATATACAGGTTTCGGCCATATATATGGCCGAAACATGTAGTGATAGAGAAGTAGGGCAAGACAATGAGTTGCATTTGGTCGTAGATATATGCACACAAGTGAAGAAAATTAGTTTTTATTTATTGCTAGTGGGGTGGGACTACGTCCCTTGTACTGCGGCCTCTTCTGGCCTATTGTACCAGCCCCAGATGATAGGTGAGGGTGATTATGGAGCAATTGGTGGAATGAAGATTGGCAGGGGAAACCGAAGTACTCGGAGAAAACCTGCCCCAG